GGAATCAAATCTCAGGAAGCATTCCGAGAGTTATTGGGTCATTTCAAAGCCTACTTCTTTGAACTTGTCTAGGAATTCATTCTCAGGACCCATTCCCAACACAATGGGCAATTTGATAACATTGGATTACTTGGATCTTTCACACAACAATCTATCTGGACAGATACCTAAGTCTCTTGAGGCACTTTCACATATCCAATACATGAATTTCTCTTGCAATAAATTGGCTGGGGAGATTCCAAATGAAGGGCCGTTCATGAACCTCACATCACAGTCTTTCATGGAGAATGAAGCGCTTTGTGGGAATCCTATTTTGAAAGTGCCACCATGTGCAAGCAATAGTTCCAAGAAGTCGATGATTAAAATTAATCTTCGATACATTCTTCTTGTCATTGCAATGATGCTAATCTTTTCTATTGGTGTGTATATTGTGAAAAGAAATCATGGAAACAATGTACAAAGTCAAAATTTGATAGATTTATATGCAACAACGGAGCACAGAACGATTTCATATCTGGAGCTTCGACGAGCCACAAATGACTTATGCGAAGCCAACTTGCTTGGAGTAGGAAGCTATGGCTCGGTATACAAGGTGTACTTTCAGATGGGACAATTGTTGCCGTTAAGGTTTTAAATTTGCAACTTGAAGGAGCTTTCAGAAGTTTTTTGATGTAGAATGTAAAGTGTTGCGAACAACTCGACATAGAAATCTCGTTGGAGTTTTAACGGCATGCTCTAATCCTGAGTTTAGAGCATTGGTTTTGCAATATATGTCTAATGGAAGCCTTGAAATGTGGTATATTCTCATAACTCCTTCCTTAATCTCCTTCAAAGGATTGGCATCATGATTGATGTAGCATTAGCTCTGGAATATCTCCATTATGATCAATTAGAGCCTGTGGTTCATTGTGATTTGAAGCCGAGCAATGTCCTTCTAGAATGAAGACATGGTTGCACATGTTGCTGATTTCGGCATTGCAAAAATTTTAGCTGAAAACAAGACTGCAATACAAACCAAGACTTTAGGTACCATTGGCTATATTGCTCCGGGTAAATGTTTTAATTACCTTTATTTACTTTAATATTTCTCATTTGACAGACTTGTTACAAATCAATTTTCCTATGTATTTTATTATTAATTTCTTTAGCATGCATGTATTGAATGTAAATTTTATGTTTTAGGTTGCCGAAGAAAATACCGTAGATGGCTTTTGTTAAGTGTCAATATATTGCTTTTTATCAAGAACATAATGTCAAGTTGAGATAGGTTCAGCTTTCAATGCAAACTTTAATGTTGAATCACATGCCTAATATTGATCACTAATTACTAGATTAATTAGATTTACTATGTTAAAGGATTATCCAGAAAGAAAAAAAGAAGAAAATACGAGGCAATAAATCATTTTAGAATAAATACACTAAGTTCCTAAAATATATGCCTTGTCATGTTATTTTCATTGCCCGAGTTTTAATTTTGTCAATTTTTTATTCCCTAAAAATTTTCAATTTGAAACAAATTGGTTTTAATTTCAAAGAGGATTGTTTAAATCATTAAAATAGTAATGACTACAATTATATCCTCGAAAGTGGTGTTTCATGTCACTTATTTTCCGAAAGCTTTCAATTTTGTTGCTTTGGTCACTAAACACTAATTAAGAAGACAAAGCATAGCCTTACAATGCTATTGAAGATAAATCCACGATTTCCAACACTTTCGATGGTCTTATGTTTGGATCTAGGCTTCCACCTAATGAATTGAACGAAAGATTCAAGTCCCTTAAAGTTTCAATTTTCCATAAACTCGACGGTATGAAGGTCAATTTATTATGAGAAAGCTTCATCACCTGCAAACCTTTAAGATTTTCAATGCAACTTGGGATCGATCCAGATAACTTATTTTCGTCTGCATAAAGTTCCCCTAAGTTGCTCAAAAGGCAAATCTCATTTGGAATTGATCCATGAAAGTTGTTACCGCCAAGATACAACCTTTGCAAACTTTCAATTTCTCCAAGAGTTGAGGGGATGTTTCCATTCAGATTACTGTTAGCCAATCCAAGTACATTCACATTCCTCAAAGAACCAATCTCTTTAGGAATTGTACCAATTAGTTGGCTTTCAGATACATCAAGTTCTTGCAAAGTGTTTGAAAAATTTCCAATAGAATTGGGTAGGGTGCCACTCAATTTATTTCCTCCCACCAACAAATGCACCAAGGAAGTACAATTTGTCAAATCTGTGAGAAAACTAAGTTCAATACTTCCTGGTTCGTTTGTCAGTTGATTTTTAAATAAATGCAAAACTTCTAGGTGTTTTAGATTGCCTAAATGTTTTGGTACTGTTCCAGTAAACAAGTTGACCGCTAGTGTTAGCATAGTGAGATTCGAAGAATTGGAAAGAGATGAAGGAATGTTTCCAGTTAGTTGATTGTGATCCAAAAGGAGGACTTCAAGATTAGGAAGGAAAAGGCCATTATTTGTTGGAATGTTTCCAGAAAAGGCATTCCCATTCAAGTCAATTTGAACCATTGAAGACTTGTTAAAAATTGCAGGAGGTATTGGACCTATGAGATAATTCAATGCAAGGTAAATTAAGTTCAAATTTGGAAGTTGTGCCAATTCAGTTGGAAAGTTTCCATAAATTTGATTCTCTTCTAGCCCAAACCCTTCTAAGCTTGAAATGTTGACAAAGGAAGGTGGAATAGTACCTATAAGTTCATTTTGTCCGAGAGCAAGTTCACTTAGAGAGGTTAAGGTGCTCAACTCTTTCGGAATTCTACCTCTAAATTTATTACCCGCAAGTGATATCACTTCAAGCCTTTGACAGTGGTGTAAGCCCAGTGGGATGTTTCCTTCTAACATATTAAGAAATAAATAAAGGGTTTTTAGGTGACGCAAGTGGCCTATTTCATCTGTCAGATGACCATAGAAGCTATTGTTGCTAAGATCGAGTAATTGGAGGAAAGAAAGATTACCAACATGAGGAGATATGGTGCCTTCGAGACCCATGTCGCCAAGGAGCAAGCCCGTGACTCTTTGCCTACGTCGACTGCATAAGACCCCGGCCCAGCCACAAAAATTGGTTTCTTTCGTCCAGTTACTCAACAAGTTGTTGGGATCATTTTTGATCGATGATTTGAAGCTGAGGAGAGCTAATTGGTCTGTGAAGTTCGAGGAACAAATGGCCAAATCAACCATGCATAAGAGCACTAACAGTGCCAGAGCTCCCATAAGAGAAGCATCGTACAGCCTCCTCACGGACACGATTGAGAAAGAGAGTGTGTGTATGCTTATGCTTAAGCTTGTGAAAATGTATGCTCACCATAGTCATATCCATACAATATATATATTAGAGGTTTGAATAATTAAAATAGATCCCGAAATGATCCCAAAGCCTGCACAAATCTTATTTTATTGAACTTGAAGACAAGCAAAGCCTGCACAAATCTTATTTTATTGAACTTGAAGACAAGCAAAGTGGGATTGATTGGTTAAGTTTGAGAAAATGAAGACTCGGAAAATTGTGCAAGAGAGATCACCAGAATTGGGATCCTCCCCTTGAGGCCCCTCCTTCATTCCCTCCTTGTAAGGGCTTGGGTCACTTTGATGGCCAGTTTTGATAATCCAAACCGTTCATCATTTTTAGATTTATTTAGTATTCATACCTGTAAAAAATCACGTTGATCGAATTCATAAAGTATGTGTTCGGAAAATTATTTATTAAAAAATAGTTTGTAGTCCCAATTTTCCTGAACGCATACTTTCTGATATCCGATCAACTTGATTTTTTACAGGTATAATATAGAAAAAATATAAAAATATGAACGGTTCGGATTATAAAAGTAGGCCTCAAAGTGGAACCCGAAGCCCTGCAGGAGGAGATGAAGGTGCAAGGAGGGAATGAAGGAGGGGGCTCAAGGAGGGGATCTGGACTCAGATCACCAAGCCATCTTTTTAGGAGGTGTTTGTGAAGAATTTTTTTGATATAAAACAGCTCTAAAAAATTAAATAGGTGAAAATAGTTAATAAGATAAAATGTCACATTAAATTTATAATCATTTCACTTTTTATTTACAAATATTACATCTAATTACAAAAAAATCCAATCATCTTATCAAATATAACTATTTTAGCCTATTATAGTAGTCAAAAACTAAAAAATAATGCTATATACACCAATTAGTGGACTAACTAGTATATTAATTGATGATGTGACATAATTTAAGAGATTTTTAATATTTATAATTTGTATAATGAGTGAGATCAATAATAATACCATAACATATGTTAGTACACTAATTAATACACTAATTACTATATATAATACCATCGAAAACAAAAATAATCAACTTCTCAAATGTACCTTAATCAAAACTAAAATGACAACAGCTAGCATATTTAAAGTTATGGGGAGAAACTTCGAAGAAGAGCCATAGCTTGTAATTCACTTCAATGACTTCACAAAAATACTTTTGGGTCAAGTCAGGTGGTCTTGACTCCATAGTCAATCAATGACTTCATAAAAAATGCCAAATATACATCAATTAATGGACTAATTAGTATACTAATTGATGATATGACATAATTTAATAAATTTTTAATATTTATAATTTGTATAATGAGTGAGATCAATAATAATATCATAACATATGTTGGTACACTAATTAATACACTAATTACTACATATAATACCATTGAAAACTAAAATAATTAACTTCTCAAATGTACCTTAATCAAAACTAAAATGACAACAGCTAGCATATTTAAAGTTATGGGGAGAAACTTCGAAGAAGAGCCATAACTTGTAATTCACTTCAATGACTTCACAAAATGCTTTTGGGTCAAGTCAGGTGGTCTTGACTCCATAGTCAATCAATGACTTCATAAAAAAATGCCAAATGGGTTCAAACTTTCAATTTATCATTAAGGAAATAAGAAAAATGTTTGGGAGCACTAATTAGTGCTCCCACTAATTAGGTGGCAGTGGGTTCCGTTATTAATGATGTGATTTTTGATATTAGAATTGTATTTTATTTTATTTTATTTTACTTTTTTAATACATTAATGTTATTAGTAGTGATATTTTTAGTGGGATGAATCATTATTGAGGAAATAAATGGGGAGAAACTTCGAAGAAGAGCCATAACTTGTAATTTACTTCAATGACTTCACAAAAATGCTTTTGGGTCAAGTCAGGTGGTCTTGACTCCATAGTCAATCAATGACTTCATAAAAAAATGCCAAATGGGTTCAAACTTTCAATTTATCATTAAGGAAATAAAAGAGGTAGACTTGACTCCCAATGACCACTTTAACAAAATTTTATTAAAAAAGTCACTTCACAAATTTAAATTTTACTAATTTTATAAGATTATTATTATTATTTTTTTTTTTGGCACTAAACAACATTCATTGTGTTTGATTTTAAATTTCAAAAACAGTTGGAGCTTTTATTTTTGGAAAAATTACCTAACAGCGGAGCTTAGGAAAAAGTATTACCACATGGCTTATTTTTCAAAATTTCAACAGTAATAGAGAGTACAAAAGTGTTAGATTTTCGTTATTGGCAATCCTGTTTGACAAAACTCTTTTCAGTTATAATTTTATTTGCACTTTGTTTATGCGAGGCTATGAGTGTTTAGATGCGAATCCAACCTAAATTATGCCTATGCAGAGGATAGGGGTGTGCATAATACCGTCGAAACCGCCGAAACCGCACCGAACCGCAACGCCAAGGCAAATTCGTTATTATTTGCCAATCGAACCGCCGATTTTTGGTAAGAAAAATGGTAAATTCTAGTGACACTTTTATCAATCCGCCGGTTTCTATTTTTCTTCCAAACTGCACCGACCCGCACCGCTATTAAATCATGTTTTATAAGATCCTAAAAATTCTTTTTTACTTAAGTTTGCTTGCTGTTCTATACTTTAGAATATAGTATTACATTACTGCTCGAGGGAAATTTTATGCATTGTATTTGATCATTGTAGCTTCCACAGATGCTTGTAATGAACTAATGTCATAGTCGTTGATATTATCATGTTGTTACTACACTTGCTGCATCAGAAGAAAATTTCGCAAGATGCTTAACATCACAGTATCTCTCGTCTTTTTTTTACTCTTTGATTTAAGTTTTGTAATTTGAATTATATTTTTTATAAACCGCCAATCCGCCCGAACCTCCAAGGCAAATTCGCCATTATTTGCCAACCGAACCGCCGGTTTTTGATAAGGAAAATGGCAAATTCTAGTAACACTTTTATTAATCCGCCACCCGCCATTCGGTTTCTATTTTTCTCTCAAACCGCACCGACCCGCACCGCGCACACCCCTAGCAGAGGAGTTTGTGAACTTAATCCTTTTATGTTTGCCACTTCACTGACTAAGTTGAGGGATCTCACGGAAGTTTGACTTGCCTGCAAATATACTAGGAGTTGAGATTTTCTGCTCGAGCGTCACTGTGACAACCCTCACCACTGATTAGTGTTAATCTATGATTAAGCATGTTAAGTGACTGAGTGACTGAAATTCTGACTGATTGATTGAGTGTCCTTTCTTTTGTTCCCCCCGGACAAAAGGGGAAGTTTTTTGGTGGTGATGTTTTGGATGATTTTGGTACAGTTGATGTTGGTACAGGTTGCTTTTATCTATCTTTCTTTGGTATAGTTGGATTGTTTTTTTGTTTTGGATGTTTTTTTTTTTTATAGACTTGTCTTTGGGATATTTCTTATTTCATCCATCTAATCTAGTTCCTACATATTTTGGTTGCCTTGTGTGTGGTTGTTTTCTTTTCTGGATAGTTGTTCACAAGCATGGATTTGGATCGTCGTTGTGGTGTTTTTTTTTTTTTTTTTTATTTTATGTTGGAACAATTGTTTTTAGAACTAGTTTGAGATATTGTTTGAGTTCTTTGTTGATTTTGTTAGGATACTGTTTTTAGAATGGTTTTGTCTGGGATTTGTGACAAAGGGGGAGTTGTTAGGACCTTTGTTGTCAAAATCCATGGATAAAACCAAGCTGTTACAGGTTTCAGTTTCCAGTTTTCAAATTTTGGTCTCTCCGCTCGGAGCGGGGAAAGTGACGCTCGAGTGGGGATAGGAAGCTCTCAGCATCTCTGCAGTGCATGAAAAAGTACTGGATGGTGTGATTCGACGCTCGAGCGTGGAAACTGCCGCTCGAGCTGAAGTTTATATGAATCACACAATTTTGTAGCCTCCACTTCGAGCGGGAATTCCCACGCTCGAGCGGACCACGCGATCCAGATTCTATAAATTCGCTTGTTGGGTCTGTTTTTAGGTTTTACTTTTTCTTCTAGATCATATTCAAGAGTCCTAGGGTTTGTTTGAAGTTTTCTTCTGAAGTTTTGGTGAGTTTTCCTTGATGTTTTGAGAAGAGTTCTTCACTCATGATCTAAATAATACATCAAGGAGTGGTTACTTAATTCAAGAGAGAGAGTTCTCCTTCGTGGATATCCAAAGATTGCAAGCGTATAGTTGTACAAAAAGGCGTTTGATTTTATTAGTCGTTAATTCGACAAGTGAGGTTGTGGAATCAACTTCAGGATTGATCAGTTCCGAGACGAAGTCGTGGAGAAAGAGTTACAGAAGGTTCGAATGACAAATTGACTGGAGTTGGGTAATTTGTACTGTGTATATTTGTAATCTTTCTTACTTCAGTATGGATTGATTAGTGGCGTTTCGCCCGTGATTTTTTAATCAGTTGGAGGTGTCAATTGTGGTTTTTTTCCACGTAAAATCGTCTGTGTCGATTTATTATTTATTCTGAAAAACAAACAATCTAAATCTTCGTAAGTGCTTGTTGATTTAAATTGTGTGTTTTGGATTTTGGGATTTGGAATATTTGAATCTTGATCTAATCACGAATCACTTAGGATTTTCACTTCCAACTCTCTAGCTCTCTCTCACATTTTTGGTCTCTAAAGGAGATGAATGGCATATCAACATGAGGGAAGAGTAGAAAGAATGGTCTAGGATTGTCACTAAGTGGC